TGAAACCGTGTTCGGTTTCCTAACCGTTTACACACATCGACAAATCCTGGGTGCGACGACAAAGGCGACGGTGACGGTGACGGTAATGAGCCCAATAAGTAAGTGAAAAAACAACAAATTTTGCTTGTCCAGCGCGCTTTTCTTGACAACCTGTACGAACACCACTGTAAATTTCCTTTTGTGACGTTTTTTGGAGAACATAAACACAGGGACAAATTCAATTTCTTGAGTCCGAACTTGGGTGCGGTCCCCAAGACTCACTCAAGTTCACCTATATTTGCCATTTTAAGAGAGTTGACGGAAACAAACGCGAAAAAGTAGCTAGGGACGTTTTCGTTCCCGGCTCTCGCCGTCGTCGTTGCTAAGGCACCTCATATTCATTAAAGTGATACTTCCATTTTGGTTTTACTGCAAACTCGTATGATCAAATGCGGAATAGTATCCGGATAAGTTGGACAAATTGTTTACACTACAAAATATTGCGAATTTACAAGGCATCGGATTCTCTTTAGATTTCGGATTCAAAATCTTTTGAGACTTGACTAAATCGGTACATTTTCAATTCGGATTCACGCGCTGCATCTGCTTAAAAACGACGAAACGAACCTAGTAACAAAATAAAGTAACGAACCCGGAAGAGTATGTGGCCTTATATTGTACGATAGATGAATAAAGTGCATCAGTCAATGAACCCAAACACCTGACAAAATATTTCATAAGTTTTTCATGTCATTTCATATGAAGAAAAAAAAGACTCTTAGGCTAACAACGTAACCAAATCTTTAATCAAGGAAGGTTTTTCTTTTTGGGGGGGAGGGGGAGGGGGGGGTAAGGGTCCAAAGCGATTTGGAGAATTATTCGTACCTCTGAAAAATCCTGGCTACGCCCCTGATTCATACATAACAAAATTACATCACTACTGATGTTAAGGTAGTTTTATATACATATACAGCTAACTTTTTTCCAAGTGTTTTAACAGCAAGTCATTTAGTTTTTTTATAAAATGTTTTTATCTACTTGCAGTTAACAGAATTTGCCAAACTTTGCATTATAAGCATTAGAAGTCAGTCTTGTACAAATTTACTGGCTGACGCTGAAAAGAATAAGAAAGCTTTACGTTTAAAGTATGAAGAGATTTAGGAGTTTTGTACATTTTTACTCTTTAGGAAAAGCAAAATAAAAGTGCATGTTGAAAGCAAGAAGACATGCATGTATTTTCTCTCATTTGAGGCCCACGGATATATATCTGCTTGCTATTCACAACAACAATTTCATATACTCTTCAACATAAAGAAAATTAAACGAACAAAGTCAGTATGAATTGTTCGACTAATGAGTCGTTTTTAAAAACAAAAGTCAGAACTAATGGCTTGACTGTAATGGCTTGATAGCTGACCAAAGTAAACATCAGTGAATAATACTTGTAGACATACCTGGAACATCAGTCCTTGTTTTCAATATTTATTTCCTTAATTCCATATATTTAATTTCCACAACGAGCTCAAGTATAAGCCACGCATTTCATTGATTTGCTAAAGAACAAATAACCAGTTCGGTGTCATAACTTCATTTTGTTAACTCATCCCTACTTCAGTCTTCAACCGTTCATTTCACTCTCCGTTGACATAAGTTTAAAGAAGTACTAGACTGGTAACGTAATAGATTTGTTCTAAAATATTTCGTGCGTGATTGCACAGCAGTCATGTTACCTTAAGACGGTCACGTGACAAGGGAACTAGATCGTAGTTTTTCGGTAGTTCCAGGCCTCCTTTATGTAACCACTTCTGATATTTCTTTAAACTCTTGTTACGCCACTAAAGAACATTCATACTGCCATGCTTCTGGCTGAATGATATAGCATCTCT